TGGCAAGATTTACTTGATGAAAAGGTTGGAGGATCAGGCTGTGCACTCCTTAATGTAAGCAGTGTGACAGGATTCAATTCCCAGCTCCCTCTCTTGCAGAGACAGTGTGGAATACCTGTCTGTGCTAGACATGACCTCTTCCATCTCAAATTAACAGTGATGTAGTTGCTCAGCTGCTGCAGTGAGTCCTGGGATCATAAATAAATGAAATGCATTTTGATGAATGAGCACAGAAATGGTATCTTAATTTGACTACGCAGAGGTAATAACTAGTCATTGGATCCAGTTTTGTCTTGATATGGGATTATTTCTCTCTCCTGTGTGGTGTCAAAGGAGTCCAGTTTTATTCACTGTGAGGGTGGTGATGCCTTGGACCAGCTTGCCCAGAGAAGCTGTGGATGCTCCATCCCTGGAAGTGTTCAAGGCTGGAAGAGGCTCAGAGTAACCTGATCTGTCCCTGCCCACGGTGGGGGATCAGAACAAGATGATCTTTAAGGTCCCTTCCAACCCAGGCCATCCTATGATCCTGATATCCCAGACAGCTTTCCCAACTCAGCTGTTTGCAGAAAAGCACTGAAGTGGGAAAAAAAAAAATTCTGCCAAACTTTGTACCGAGACCTTAAGAGAGGTCTCAATTGAATTTTAGTCAGGGTTGTGTTTGGTAAAGGCTTTATGGACTGGCCTTGCTCCTCAAAGGAGGTGCTGAAAGAGTTGACATAAGTCTTGAAAGAGCTGGTGTCCATCAGTGCTGGCAGAGAAGCAGGAAGGAGCTGAAGAGTCAGGACAGGCCATGGGTCTTGAGGACAGAGGGGCCACAAATAGTCATCTTGACATTTTTTAAGTCAAAGAAATTTCATTCACTCCAAATCCCACCAAACCTGAAAAAACCCCCAAACCAAACCACTGCCAAATGAGTATTTTCAATACAACTGTGGCTCCTCTATTTCCTCTAAAGGAGAAAAAACCCACCCTTTTCTCCATTTTTTTTTTCAAGTATTTCTCGAGTTTATGAAAGAAACCTCATGGAAAACCACCCCTTTGTAACTAAAAAGATGTGAAGTGCTTCTGAGGAAGCTCAGAGGCTGAAAATGCCCTGTTGATGTCAACAAAGTTTGAGCAAATAGGTACCTTTGGGGAGCATTTATGTCTCTTACCCCTATTTTTTTGGTCCCAAAGAGCAAGGCACCAGCAACAAGGGCTTACAAGAAAAAAATGGTGCCGGAATTTGGGGTGTAAAGGAGAGGGAAAACCATGAAAGGGGACTGGTTTGGCTCCCTGCCTGCCTGTTACAGTGCTGTAAAGCAGTAAGGTAAAGTGCTTTCCTGGAATACTCTGCCATTATCACATAGATGATCACTGCAAGGAAATTTGTCCTGCTCAGACTCAAAATTCTCCTCTGAGTACAACATTTTCCTGGGCCAACCATCAGGCAACTCCCCTGTCCCGCCTCTTTTTGCTATAAACCCCTCCTTTTGGCAGTTTTAGTTGCAATATCAACCATCTGTGGTGGTCTCCTTACCTGTCCACCCCGTTTTCACTTTATCACCCCCACTGAGTCTGCAGGTCCACACCCACTGTCTCTGTGCTGACCACAGGAAGAATATTTTGGGCAGTTCCTTACCTGTATTTCCTTCTGTTTTCCATTGTCAAGGCTCAGGATTCTTGTAGCCTTCCTGTGCCTCCATGTGCTGTGTGTTGTGTTGTGTTGTCTCAATTGCTCTGCAGGTTGATAAATGTCTCTAAGTGTCTCATTATGCGATTAATTTCAATTGCAATTCCCATCATCTCTTCCCTTCTGCAGGCATGCGACCCAGCAGGAGACTAATAAAACCATCACCACCAGCACCAAAGCCATCAAGCAGCTGTCTGAGATTGTCAGAGGCTCATCCAGGGTATGTGCCAATCCAGGTGATTTTGGGGGAGGGTGGTGGGTCTTATGGAAGGAGGAATAATAAAAATAATTTAAAAAAAAAAAAAAAAAAGGTGGTAGTGGGTGCTTTAAGGCTGTTAAGCTCCATGCCTTGTTATAACTTCCTTTGCTGTTACATGGTAAATGTAGTTTTCACTTATAAATGACCCAGAGGAAAACAGCTGCAGAAACCAGTTCCTCTCCCAAAACTGGATCATGTGGAATTGGAAACTGAGAACTCAGCAACAAAGCTTTGGCCAGTTCACGTTTGTCGCAGGGTCCCACTCAGTTTGGGTGAAAGTACCCCAGAAATCAGGTGGCTCCACATAAATCTGGCACTGGCTAAAGACTCAGTTGTGCTCTGGGGACGGGTGAGTTTGGGATTGTGTTGAGGTGTCTGGAAAGGCCCAAGCCATGGAATACATCTGGATGTGACATTCACTCAAGGCTGTGTGCTGGTAAAAAGGCAGGTTTGGGGATAGATAAAAACAGAGTGTGGCCAGATCAGAGCAGGACTTAAGAGTTGCAGTTTGCCCCACAAAATCCTTCTGTTATATGGACAGACTGGGATGTCATCAGGAGGTTCAACTCCTACGAACAGCATTGTCACAGGGTGGGAATGATCCCCATCCTCTGGTCTCCAGTGCAAAGACTGGACAAAGAGAAGGTTTCTGACCTTCCTACACAACCCTTACACTCCAGATATTCCTCCTGAATTTGACCTGTGGTTTGATTTGTGGGGAAGAACAGAAACATACTGTGGGACCAAACTCCAACTGGTGTGAGAGCAGAGGAGTTTGACCCACATAAAAGATGATTCAGCAGCTGAAATGACAATAAGGACAATTCTGCTTGATTTTCTGTTACCTCCTTGCTTCCACCATCCATATGGTTTCTGAGTCAGGAACATTCCTGAACTGATGTTTTATCCTCACTCACTTCCTGCCATTTTTCCAAAGCCCCGAGTTACTTCAGCTCTGGACTCACTGCCCTTCCACCAGGCAATAACACTGCTCTAAACACACCACTCATCTCTGTCCCAAGTGGGTTTTACAGCCTGGATTTATGGCACTTACCAACAGGCAGGTGAGATAAGGATTTCAAGGTTGAATCCCCCCAAAGGCTACCTTTGTAACATGTGGAGGACCCTGTGCAGTCCAGCCCACCTGAATAAAAAATGAAGGGGTGATGGTCCACTCCAGAGGATGAGTAGGGAAACCTGGGATGACTATTTCCATATATTGACATCAAACTTGCACAGGCATCAGCCTTAACACCAGGATAGTTTTTAAAATGTTACTCTGATTAGTGATGGACTACAAGGACTATTTTTTTCTTTTGTTTTCTTACATAATTCCATCTGAGCTTGATGAAACAGAAGATGCTGTCTCGGAAATATGGGCATCTGAGCTCTTTTTGTGCTCTTTTTGTGATGATCTCCTGTCTCCTTTTCGTGACATAAATTGAGTCAAAAGGAGAATCAGGCAAGGTCACATTAAACCCAATTAAAGTGCTGCACAAGAATGTCATTATTTGCCCTTGAAGCCCAGGCAATGTCCACTGGGGACTCTCAGGAGAATAGTTTATACTGTCATGGGGAGAAAAATTACTAAATTAAACAGAAAATATTTAAGAGCTGAAGGAAATAGATACACAAACAATTTTAGTAATATAAGAAATAAACTTGCTGCTCTCTATTGCATTGCATAATAATTTTTTTGCTCCCTGGTCAATTAATTTAACAGATTTTATTTTTTTATTTAGCTCTTCTTTTCTAACACTGTGCAGTTTAAGTAATTAAACCTACAAATTTTGATATAAAGCCTGTGGCCCTCGTCCCTTATATAGAATAAATAGTTCTGGTGGATATTGGCTGCTGGTCAGTAAGTCCCTCTTGGGAATCTGGGTAGGACTGCAAACTTTCCTCCCATAAAATTACTCACAGCAGGAAAAACCTTCTATTAATTTAGAGCTTTATTAGTCCTTACCAATCCATCTTTCTGTGGATTGCTTTGCATGCACACACAGACAAAAAGAAAAAATGTATTTTTTTCCCCTTTCTTCCTTATTTTCCACCACTTGTGCATTGCTAACAACGTGCACTGTGGGAGTTTCTCTGCCTTCCCATGAAGCTCCAAGTGCTGCTGGAGCTACTGGAGTCAGGATGCCCAACTGAGCAAATTGATAGTATTTTGGGAGCAAAGATGCTGCTGTAAGTGGATCAGTGGGATACAAGGCAGGAGATTGATGTAAAATAGCACATGGCTATTTTAGGGGCTTCATTCCAAAATAACCTCCAAGGATGTAAACAGATAGGCCTATCAGGAATTCCATTTTTTTTTTTGGTAGGCTGGATGCTGGAGCATGAGATCAGCTCTCTAGGGTGGCAGTTTTATCTTGTTTTGCATGTGTAACAAACATAAGGTTTATGGATCCTTATCTGTAGAATGGCAATAATGATACTTGCCCTTCTCTAAATATGGTTTTAAATCTTCAGATGAAGAACTGTAAGACTGGGATATTCTTCTGTGTGTGGAAATGCTGCCATTAAGAATCAAAGATGTTTATCCCATCCTTTATAAAATGTGCTTTTGTATTCTGAGGCAGTTTTCTGGAACAGCTGAAATGGCTGTAAACTGAACAATTCTGAATTCTGAAATGGCTGTAAACTGAACATTTCTGCTCAGTAGCTTTAGTGTATGTTGGGCTTTGTTTACCACTTGTAATTTAAGGTGACTTCCCACTTCCTGGCAGTTCATTCCCCTCTGAAAAAACCTGGATACGTGAGCTCCTGCCCATGTAAAATCTGAAATCCAAGGGGTACAATAGTTCCAGGAGAATTTCCATTGCCTGACACCATTTGGGTTTGGCCATTCCATGTGAGAGCAGAGATTTTAATTCATGTTGGATAGTTATGTTGGGCTGACTGGGACCTTCTTCCTTCCAAGAACACTTCTGTTTAAAACACAGATTGGAATCTTGCTGGAGCAAGCTCCAAATAGAAAGGTGGTGACATCTGGGCTCTTTGGAAAACATGAGGACAAGCTGGTTTCTGACAATCAGGTGCTAGGCCAGGCAGAAGGAACATTGTGGCTGATGGACCTCTCAATTCCAGTAAGTCTCCCATTGCCATCAGATGAGGTGATGATCATCCAGAAGAAGGATTTTTATAGGAAGATCCCTTGGGTTATTTTCTCCAGTGCTATATTGAATATCAAGGTGGCATTATTTTTAAGTGCTTTGGCCTGAAAGACCAAAGAATCACATGCTCACTTCCTAAAAATAAAGTTTTGTTACATCCTGGCATCCCCAGTGAAATTTTTTAGGATGCTATCTGTGCTGCCCACCTTGTTTATTTGATGTCTCCCCTCAGGACAATTTTTCCAGGGTTTCAGAGACACTTTACCACTTGATTTATCTCCACAGACCTGCTAACCAGCCTTTTCTTTTCCCAAAACAGCAAGAGAGGCTCCAGCTGGACAGGCTGAAGAACCAGCTGTCGGATGCCATCCAGAGATACGGAGCTGTGCAGAAGGTGAGGGTCCCTCTCGCTTCCACTCTTCCATCTGTGAGTCAGGGAATGGGTTAGGTGTGACTGAGCATGACTCCTGGGAGCCTGGAGCACCTCCACAGGGCTGGTTACATGTGGTTTCCACCCTCTTTTCTTACTTTGCCGGTCAAGAAATTACAGAAAAGACTTTTCAGATCATCAAGTCCAACCATCAGCTCAGCCCCACCTAAACCATGACCTTAAGGGGCCATATCCTCACATTTATTGAATACTTCCAGGGATGGTGTCTCAACCACTTCCCTGGGCAGCTTGTTCCAAAGCTTTAAAATGTTTTCACTTACAAAATGCTTCCTGATATCCAATCTAAACCTCTCCTGGCACAACTGGAGAGCATTTCCTCTGATTTTGTTATGTGGGGAAAGAGACCAATTCCCACCTCACTGCAAGCTCCTTTCAGGGTGTTGTAGAAAGCAAAAAGGTCTTCCCCCTGAGGGTCCTTTTCTCCAGGCTCCCTCAGCTGCTCCTCACCAGACTTGTGCTCCAGCCCCTTCCCCAGCTCCATTGCACTTCTCTGGACAAGCCCCTCAATGTCCTTCTTGTCATGAGGGGCCCAAAACTGAACCCAGGACTGAAGGTGCCTCAGCAGCGCCCACCACGGATGGATATACCATTGCTTTGGGGTATTCACACACATGGGACTGCAGAACAATTCAGCAGCAGCTGAAAAGAAGGAAAAGTGTGGTTTTGCCATCTGTGTGTCTGGTAGGACCTTCAGTGCTTCATCTGGCTTAGCCTTGATGTTATTTTGGTGCGAAGCGATTGCACAACGCCCTTTCCACCTTTTCTGCTCCCAGAAAACATGCAGGCAGCTTTGATAATTTAAATATGCCCCCCCCACACACACCTTCTGGCTCTGCTGTGCTATATGGCTTTGCCAGGAAGCGTCTGAGCACGTCTTGCGGTTTGGATCTGTCACCAAGATCAAGCTGTTTAATAAAACAAACAAAGCCTGAACTCCAGCTCCTTCATTTGCTTCTTGCTCGCCCTCTTTACCCTGGGGAGGCTCCGCTGATGAGCAGATTTGCTTTGCTTTTAAACACTGTAGTAAATGACTTAAATTTAGCATCCTCAAACCGCTCCTCTCCCCGGCATCAGCAAGTTTGCAGATGTATCTGGATTAATCTGGACAAACTCTGGCTGCTTTCTTATTTCACTTTAGTGAGTTTGACCCGTGGCTGCAGCATATGGGAAGGATATGTTGTATTTGTACAGGTGTAATGAAATTTGGCTGGCAACATGCACTTAATAATGTGTCAATATGCACTTAATAATGGATCTCTATTAAAAGACCTCTGTGCTGATGGATTTTCCCAACACTTGCTGCCTATGACTTAAAAATAAACAAATAAACAAGTAGATGTACATAAAATTACACTTGTATTGTGTAATAGCATTGCGTTATCTCTAGTGTTGTCTCACATTTTAAGTTATTTCTCTGCCCTCTTCAAGAAACTAAATGTGGGGTCTTTAAATGAAATTATTTTTTCTGTTATATGAGAAGATGGAATGATTTGGGCAAAGAGCTCCACCCCCATATACACACACACACACTTTTTAATGCCCTTTTTTCCCTAATGCTCATGAGTACAATCCATCAGAACTGCACATCCAGGTTTGATTTCTTTTATTTTAAAAAACTGTCATCAATTCAGAGAGAGGTGCCAAAATTAACCAGTGCAGTTTGTGAATGCCCTGTTGCGTCAGGAAACCAATCTGAGTGGGAAATTGCTACTTATCCACGTCCTGGCTGTCATTCCTTAAATGGCTGATTCAGTTTTGATAACCTTGTCATTCTGGAAGCTTTGAAGACTTTTAATGCCTGTAAGACCGAGCTTTTCAGTGCTGTTATATTCCCTTTCTTTTTCTAAATTGTAGGAGCTTTCTCTATGTCCTTTTCTTTAAAAAGCAGAAGAAATAGCTTTATTTGTCTCCTTCCCTAAATATTTGGACTGTTTTCTCAGCCATTTTAACTCTTTTTTTTTTATTTTTCCTTTTCATTTTAACAGAAAATAGCAGAGAAATCCAAAGCTTTGCTTCCCACTGGGCAGAGAAGCACCAAGCAGGTAAGTTCATGTGTCTTTGTGTTTGACAGTAAGTACAGTGCTAAAAAAAGTGCCTATTTTCTACCACCACTAATGATGCTGAAGAGCTTGGTGCTCCTCCACTGCCTACACTGAAGCCAGTGAGGTGTTTTTCCAACAGGGATGCGTGACGTCTTTGGAGGTGGAGGATACAGGACTCGGGCAAAAAAAGACTTATATAAGACCTATTTAATTATTCTCTGCTTTTCTCTTCTCGTGGGGCTGTTTTTCCATTCTTGATGGGAGTTTTTTTCTACTCTGAAATTTATCAAAAAGCAGTCCTGTATCCTCTTGCACCTGGAAATCACACTCCAAGGACAATTTCATAGCAGGGATTGAGAGGAATTTTTATCAGACCTGTCCCCACTTTTGAGAGAGATCATGTATTCTGCTTCCTTGTCTACTTTACAGTGTGGTTAACTGTTATATACACATGCAAATAGAGCCTTTTTATTCTCTTTTTACCCATATTAGGAACTTTTTCAATGAATAAATACTGTATGGAATCAGAATATATGCACATATGTTCTGATTTTTATATCCATCCATGCTGTGATTACTCCATATATGGTGCATATGTTTATTTTCATATGTACGTGCAAGTGTATGTATAGATATAAAATATAATTAAATGCATGGGTGCCCATGAACATATGCAAATTTTAAGAATATTAAGACATAAATATAGATGTATAAATATAAATATATGAAGATATGTATGTGCAAGTATATATGTAAATACATGCATGTATGTGTTCCCTTTCACAAACAATAATGCAAAATACTGTGTATACAAAAGGGGGGTGTGTATGTAAGAAATCAGCACAGATTTCCAAGAGAGGTTTGATTTTAGGAGACCAGTTGGCTGCAGTAGTAATCCAACAAGCGTTAGGTTGGTGTCTGAAATCCTACATATTAAAAATTTGTAGATATTTGTAACTGATGTCATGCCACTAAAAACCAGAATTCTCTACCTGATTTCAGTGATCATTTCTGATATTCTTGATACCCTTTTAAAGCACAGTCAGCAGATTTTCTGCTTTCCTGATGAATTTTCATTCTTTGCCTTGCTGTGCCACCTGGTTTTCTATAACCTCCTTAATCTATGTAAGAAAGAGTTGTACTTTGTAACATCGATGCATCTCTGTAAAGAAGAGTGGAATGATGCCGCCAAAGATCTCGACATTAGGGCAAGTCAGTGGACTAAAACTTTAATATTAATTAGATTTCAGGCAGTTACAACTCTACCTTGGACCAGAACTTTAATATTAACTAGATTTCAAGCAATTACAATTCTGCCTGGGAGCTTGTTTAGTTGGATTTAGGTGTCAGTGAAATGAAACGAAGGCCCCAAAGGGCTGATGAATTTCCTTCTCCTGGTTGGGCTTTTATCCCTTTTTGTTGGACTGTTGTTGGTGGAGTGGATTGCAGAGGAGGGAATGGCTCTGATCTTGCTTGGACTACCATGTGGTTTCGTGGCCATGGCTGTCCCATAGGATTTGGGACACTGCTGGCCATTAGCAAGCGTAAATAGGATGGAGAGTGCTAATTAGTGCAGCTGGAGCAAGCCTGGATGAAATCAACTTTTTTTTGGTGTATTTGGTGGTTGATGACTCCAAAAAGAACCTTCTCTGGAAGTGAATGGACTTTTAATAGAGGGAGAAAATAGGATGTCAGACAAAAATACTCAAATCTTGAGGAGAGTAATGGTGTGTTTGGAAGAAAAGGGAGGCTGGAGGAAGAACAGGACAGAAAAACCCCTTTGCATTAAAACAAGCAAGAATACAACCACTAGGGGACTGTAGCAGCGACAATCTGGTGCGGGACAAGCACAGAAAGGGGAGAAATTAAAAGTACAAAACCTGCTGAAGGCAACACAGTGGTTGGTTTTCGCTTATTATTTTCCCAGCGGCAGCTTGGGTCAGGATATGCAAAATTATAGTTCCCACAGGACCTGTAGCCTGGCCACTGTGTGCATGTATTAGGGCAGTAATGCAAAGCTCTACAGATCTTCAGGACACCTGATTTATGGGTCTTGTGAAACCACAGAGTGACTCGGTGCAGACCCAGCCTTGATTCAAACGCTGTTTGCCTGCAGGGCTTTGTTCTGTTTTATTTATGCTTTAATTTATTACAGCAAGTTGTAAGAGGCCTGAAGAATGCTTGTTTTTCTAGGTGCATGTCCCTGTAGTTCCCCTCTTCCACCAGCGAGTGGGAAAGATAAGATGTTTGGTAACACAATTCCTCATAATTTCCGTTTAGGGAGTAATTGATTCCCTAGACCCACATAACGGGTAAAAATTGCCAAGTGAAGCTTCGGGAGAATTAGTTTCCTGCCAGTTGTGGTTTGCTGTAAGTACTCTTTAATTGAGTTTATTTGTTTATAAAAGCAAAATAAAAGCATTGATCCGAAATTCCTTGAAGCCCAAAGTTATATAAATTCTTAATCAAATATGTGCTTGTAGGAATGTGTTTGTTTGTAGACAAATCGATGTAGTTCTGGGGGTGCATATGTTGAAAGATACAACTTTTTACTGCACTAAATGATCATTGTTGAACGTGCCTTGTGGCAGCTGTTAAAAAATTAAAAACGTCCTTTCCCTTGAACCTGTGAAAGCAATTTTAAATATTCACCCAGTGGCCAAAATGAGACCTCAGGAGGCTCATTAAGAGAGTGCCCAGGGGAATCCTGGAAAGGAGCTTTCAATTCGGGGGAGCTGCTGGTGCAGCAAAGAGAGACAGTGTTTGGTGATATGGTCACCTCTGCTTCCTGACTGTGTGTGGAGCAGATGGGCTGCAAATCCCACTTCTCCTCCTAAACACACCATGGTGAAATCCAATGGTTCCTCCTTCCAGGCAGAGCCCAGGGTGGGAGAGGGAATATTTCAGGTGTCCCCCGGAGCTTGGGATGGTGTGGTCAGGGCTAGGAGAGGCTGGACAGCTGAGCAGACATGGGTGAAATCCATTTCCTGAGTGAAATCCATCCCACAGTGCAACAATTGGATAGAATATAGTATGATAATGCTCTAATAGCACAGAGTAGATTATCCATAATATTAAAATTATAAATGATAGCCTGAAGAAAACCCACAATGGCCAATAATCTCTCTGAGCACAGGAGATGAAAAGAATCCTTCTTTTTAATTCTTATTTTAATTCTCTATAATTATTGTGCATCCAAAATCATCTGCTTCCGATAGAAAGAACCTGTTACGTGCCCATGATTGAATAAATTCAAGTTCCAGGTATTAAACCTGGGAACAGGCAAGGCTGGGAAGCTGAAGGCTCCCAAGGATTCATCTCTGACAGTTCCTGGCAGGGATGGCCGAGTTTCTTCATCCTTAAGGCGTCTATGAGGTGTCTTTGGGCCACCTCTATCCTTCCTCGATCCTCGCTGACCACACTGAGCCACCTGTCTTAGTCCTCTGAGCAACCTGGTCCAGTGGGAGGTGTCCCTGCCCATGGCAAGGGGTTGGAACTAAATGATCTCTCAGGTGCCTTCCAACCCAAACCATTCTGTGATTCCATGAGATCTTCTCAGCTAAGGAGGAGCAAAGTGGTCTTTCTCAACGTGTAGACTTTGTGGGTGGTTCCCCCAAGGGAGTGGGAGAAGGGGAAGCACAGGCTCTGTTTGAGCTGGGCAATGAGTTTTAAAATAAAAACCACATAAAAAATCTGAACAGACCTTTTTTTTTTGTTTTGTTTTGTTTTCTGGAGGAAACTTTTCCCAGCAATATTTAGAAATTAAAATTACAGTGATTGTCATAGTGTAATGGCATCCCTCTTCATTTCCTGCTGCTTGTGGGGAGAGGGAAAGATAATTACTGCTGTGGAACGTGGCAGTTGCCAAAAGGATGCCTTTGTTTCTTATTCCATAAGCCTACTTGACCCATCTCTCAGAGGTCACTAAATTATGTTTCTTAGGAGCACAGAGATGGGTAATAAACCTCTATTTGCATATACAAGCTTTTTTTCCTCCTGACTGCATCAATTTCTTCTTGCTCTAAGTGGACTTCCTTCTCGCAGGAAGCATCATTTCTCTCTTCCTTCCTGTGTTTATGAAGTTGTTCTTTTTTGTGTGATTAGAGTAAAATTCTCATTCTGGGGGCAGCAAGATCCAATCCTCGTGGCTTTATGGGAGAATAATTTTTTGGGCAATAATATCTGCATAAACTGCACGTATGTATGTGTGTGTGGAATGGCTTTAGTTATTTGGGCTTCTATTTTTACCAGGTCCTTAGGATGGTAGAAGCTGTATAAGCACAGCTACTACACTGTGCCACCCTGAGGATCTCACAGGCTCAGCAAACACCACCAGGGCTGTTTTGAATAATTAACTATGAGTTTGTGATGCAGCGGGTTCTGGAATTCCAAAGATGTTTGAAACTGGCTTCAAAATTTGCAGGAGGTTTCGTTCTGTATTTTCCTGAAATGCAAAGTTTAATTTCTCACAATCAACATACAGCTTTTGCCCTGACAAATGGAGCTCTTTATTTTACACATTTATCTTATTGACTCCAACCTCTTATCTTAGAGCTCATCCCAGTTCTAAATGCTCCAGACTGGCTGTTCTATCTCAGGAAATCAAGCCCTTGGCTTTGGTGATAATTTATCTTGCATGTGTGGTAGTAATTGCTGTGTCTTTTCAAGGTCGTTTGGGATGCAGCTCCTCCTGTAAAAAGTGTTATTTCAATAATGTCAACTTTGTTTTAAATGACTGTGCATCCATTAAAAGCCGTATTGTAATCAGCCCACTCCCCTGTTCCCAGGGCTGTCAATACTGAGCATTTAAATCACACAGTTATTTTTTTCTTGACTTCACTGAAGTGTGGGCTTTTGTTTGGTTTTTGGTTTTTGATTTTTGATTTTTTTTTCTTTAAGGCAGTCATTTAGAGCAATTTTCTTAAGAAAATTTAAATATTTTCTTGTCTTTTTCTGCCTGTTTGGCGGTAGAGAAATGGATTCCTAATAAAGGGATTTCT